ATGTCTTTGTCCTAATTGTTACTGTATGCATAGTCAGAAATCTAGTGATAGATTTCCGAGTTTTTTTTTTTTTATATGAGTGTGAAACCTGTGTGTACACCAGTAGAGAAACACACTAAACAAATACAATCGTGCACAATTTTAGTGAAACTGTGTCTCGTACACACAGTCAGTTTTGAAGGACATCGTAATTATTTGCAAACATGCGCAACTAAACATGTCTCATGTTGCTACATATACCAAGGCTAATGACAGTCATGGGAATGGGCAGGTTTCATGGCATCCGGGTAAACTCATCCCCAGTGAAGTTGTCCTTCCTTTTTTTTAACTGGTGCCTAAGAGCGACAATGCCCATGCAGATCATGGTTTTAGGGAAGATTTTTGTGGGCATTCCTGGTACGTACTAGCATCTACGTTCAAATACACACTTAAATAGAAATAAATGTTATAATATATCCCGACTTACCCATACCACAAATTGACACTGCTTCTTATATCAATGAATGTCATTGAATAGATATGTACAGGTACATAACTGCTACACGCTAAGAAACATCAAGGCTACCGGGATAACATATCAATATAGCCAAAGAATGACACACTAACGCGTACACAAAAGATACAGGGATGTACACGCACACTGATAAGATGATACAAACGCCGATACACAGATCCTTCAGTAGTCTGTGTTTGCAAACAAAAGCGGAGGGGAGAGGGGAGAGGGCCTTGGGACAGGTGCCAAATGTGGTGAGAGCGGAATTAACGGATCGGGGGGACGCAGCAGAGAGCGAGAGACAGTTTTGGGTCTGATCCAAAGAGTTAATGTTCCTTCCATGATCGATTACTTGTCAGATGTGATTTTAAACCAATACAAGATAAATAGCATCATTTCCCCTGCTCGCTTCAGACAGAATTAAGAAGCCATTAGCTAACACAAATTTTTTGGCAAGTTTAATAAAAGCACAAATTTACATTTGTAAGAAAAGCTCCCCAAGGTATGTTGCAAAGATGCAAATGAGTTGGAGCTAACCCCTCCCTCCCCAAAGTGTGTCCCCCCTCTCTCACCCATTTAGTCGAGGCTGCCTCTACTCTTCTAACAGGGTCTGCTAAACACTCAGACAAACCTGCATCTGTAAAATGTCCCCACATTTAGCACATCGGATCGGACCCACACCTTGCAGGCATAGTTTTTTTTTCTTATTTTTACAAGTCACAGTATGCCCCTCTTTTACTCTCATTATTCTGTTTTCTATTCCTTCCCATTGCCCATCTTTCAGTTTCTGATTCTCGTCTTTGGGGGGTTTTTCGGTCAGACTTTGCATTTTATCCTTTTTTTCAGCCCTGTCATCTCTACCCTATTTCTTGGAATTGTACATCCAGGCCTAGATATTTCTCGCTTAATTCATATATTTTTCTGGTTTACATATTACCATTCACCAACCCAGATATCCTAGTCATAAACTTCTCTCTCACTAACATAAGTTCGAAACTACTGTCTTAGTCCAATCTGGACATTCAATTGCATTGACTACAGTTTGGTAGTTCTTCTCGTTCTCAATCTGGACATTCCCTTGCACTATCACAAGTTCTATAAAAATATGAACATTCCCTTGTGCACCAGTTCAGTGCTGTTGTCCTATCCTATTTTGAACAGTACTTAGCACTGACACGTGATCAGTCCCTCTCCCTTTTGCCAGTCTGGACATTCCCTCACACAAACCCCACCAATTCAGTCCACTTCCCTACTCTATTCTGTACATTCCCTTGCACAAACCCCACCAATTTAGTCCACTTCCCTACTCTAGTCTGGACATTCCCTCGCACAAAACCCACCAATTCAGTCCACTTCCCTACTCTAGTCTGTACATTCCCTTGCACAAACCCCACCAATTTAGTCCACTTCCCTACTCTAGTCTGGACATTCCCTCGCACAAAACCCACCAATTCAGTCCACTTCCCTACTCTAGTCTGTACATTCCCTTGCACAAACCCCACCAATTTAGTCCACTTCCCTACTCTAGTCTGGACATTCCCTCGCACAAACCCCACCAATTCAGTCCACTTCCCTACTCTAGTACAAACCCCACTTCCCTGGCACTGAACCAATTTATTTCCACTGTAGTGTGGACCCTTTCTTTTATCCTCGATAATACAGTACCACTGCCCAGTTCCGGTGTGGTCTCTCTTTCACAAGATTACAAACATGGCCCTTTTGCAGTGTTTCGTCCTTTCCTTCCCGCTCAGTCTAGTTTGATGCCAGTCTGATTTGTTTATCCCATATGATCATAGCACAACTGTGAAAGTCTATGCCCATTACATCTGTCTCTCGCCAGTTCGGAGGCATTGCTCGGCTGATGGCTTTGCTTTTTTCAGCTCTCTCATCTCTACAGCACCATAGGCCTACTTCAAATCAGACCCAGTGCCCAGCCAACATCTAAACTATCTTTCTCAATATCAGTAGCCCACCACCCTGACCATGCCAGTGGGTTAAACATCTCTCACATTCTCAATCCAGCAGCATCATGCTATTCGAACAGTCTCTTTAACATCTTTGTAGTTAAGACCTCCTACCCTTGTCCCTTTCTTCCCGAGACTTGCACCATTGATATCACAGTCTCTCTCTCTCTCTCTATCTCTGCCAGTGTGTCATTACAGCAGCAGTCTAGTCGATCAGCCCAATTCTTACCATTTTACTGCCTTTTTACCTACTCCCAGAGTAGTCTGTTCCCCCACCCTACCCCCCCCCCACACCACTACCACCATCAACACAGCCCCTCTCCTTCCTCCACAGTCTGATTGTCCCTTCATTTTCTCATCCAGTTCCACCTCCCACCATGTATCCCTAGCAGTCTTGCTGGCAGATGGGCTGTCTCTTTTGCTGCCTGAAATGTTCTTTGAAGGATAATGACAGCATTAAAGGATGGAGCAGGAAGGGAGGAAAGTGACAACAGCAAGATTCTCATCATACAACCTAGCCGTCTGTCAGCCGGCAAAACTCTAAGAATTTTACTTAATCCACCCATTTAACACTTTAGTGACAAAGGCCTATGGAGATCTCTTCAGATCAAGACAGCTCAGAAAAATCATCTGTAAATCTGCTGTGTAACTACAACTCCCATCATTCTAGTCTGGGAGCTGCACGAGAGACAGAAAATTGCAGGTCTCTGTCTGATTTAGTGCAGTGATTTATCAGGTGAAATAGAAGTTAATGGCGTAACACCCAAACAAACTCACTGTTTGAAGAAGCAGATGAAGTCACACATCTAATGACAATACAGTAAAACGGACAGATTATTTCTGTTGTTAGAAATATTGTAGAATTTTAAAACATATTCACTAATGTGAGAATTGATGTAAATTCAAAGTGAATTTCAACTTTTAGACACACAATAGCCAGGATAAAGCAGTCTGCATACCACGGACAGGCCACCGAGATCTTTCCTGGTGTCCTGGTTGGCCAGTCTGTCTGTCCCTGCGTCAGATCACCCAGCACGGTAGCACCCCAGGGACATCTGGGCCAGCTGGTATCTGCAACAGATTTTCTATGCCTGTGATTTCCCCACAATTCTAATTTTAGTAAATAACTCTATATATCTTGCTTTGATCATTTTTAAATCTGCATAATGGTTTTATGTATGATGCCCTGTACTCGGGTGTTAGACAAATCACATTTTTTTTACAATCCAAGCACAACTGAATGCTGGGAGTTAATAAGCTGAACTCCCAGATTCTGATTGGCTATTGCCAATACAGTTTTTAGCTATCTTGTTTTGCCACTTTTCAAAATTCGAAGCACTTCGGTAATTCGGACCAATGTCATTTGATTCGGTTCGGCACTTCCAAACTACCAAATATTGGCACTTCGGAACTCTTGCACTTCGGACATTCGTAAGCATCCGAATGTCCGAATTGCATGAAATTCATCCGAATGTACATTCGGAACGAAACACATGTCTATTCTAAATATATTTTTGATAGTTAATGCTAAACCTATACCAACCCTAATCATACACCAGCCCTTTGCTTACACTAACTCTAATCGTACACCTACCCTAACTTTAACCCTACAGTCCCCCTAACCCTAACATAGCAATTACCCTAACCCAACTTTTTTTCATTTTGTATTTTATTGGATTTTGCCCGCACAAAATACAACTGTATCGCAGTATGAGAGTAAGAGTGTGGTAAAAACAATGAATTCACAAAGTCATATACGAGGCAATACATGCAGTATGACAACTTTAAGTACATTATAGGGGTATGCTTTATTGGAGAGACCTGTGGTGTAAGCAAGTGTAATTCACTCTTGGGTATGATTTATATCTCTCCACTAGGTATTGTTAAATGGCAAATAAAAAAAGAAAACTGAAACTGAGGAATGTAAACTAGTCACAACAGAAAAAGGAAGAAAAAAGCAAATTATGGCATCTAGGCATTTCTGATGGAAGTGGGCTTGGGGTAGTCGGTACTACGACCATTTGTGCATGAGGTGTATTCATAGTCATCGCTTTGTCCCGTCTTATGGATTATTTCGAGTATTTGTCACAGGGTCACCAGCTCAGTCTGAGTTTCTAGCAGGTCTGCTTCCCACACCTGTCTCATTTCCAGCAGGAGGTTTTTGTATGTCCCATTTTGTTGCTGGTGATGAGTCTTCATCTAAGTCAGATCCGCTGTAGGAGCCGCTTGCTGGGGGAGTCACTGGAGTTTGCTCTTCATCTCGGGATGCTTCTGAGGCCTCGTCTTCACTCTGCTCTGCAGGCGCCATCTTAGGAGCAGCCCGCGGGATAGGCCTGTCAAATAAAAGCCTAACGTCAGGCATTTGTGGGATCTCAGGGATGCGCTGGCCGATGCTCTGTCTTGAACTGCTCCCGGCTGTTTCAGGGCCCTGTTACCCCCCTTTGGACCAGTGGGGGATATTTCAGTCCCCATTGTTACCTTGCTCTAACCACAACGGAGTGTCTCTCTTACAAGGTGCTGACGTCCTGGGCATATTTGCCAAGATGGCTGCCGCTCAGAAATCTGCTCCTCCTCATGCCCACGTGGCCCAATTACTCTTTGAGGAAAAGCTGAGCATGGCTTTTGATCGCCTATGGGACAAATTGGGCTGGCCTGAACCATCACACACAAAAGCCTATACAGACCCTGGCCCCTGGCACTATACCAGTCCAAATGCGGCAACCATGGAGTGGGAGACCGAAGCGGATCCATCAGGGGTCATAACTTCACACACAAATCACATCCTCAGCAGGCGCTCGGCCCACATAAGAGGCTGCCAGCTGGGAGAGGATCGGGACCATGTGTTCTGGTTGCTGGATTGGACTGGGACTGTGGGTCTGGTGTTCTAGATCAGAGTGGAGTCTGCAGGTGGTGGGGAGGCCAGCTGGAACTGCCGGGACTCATACTGTATAGCTGTTAGGTGCCCCGTCTGGATGGCATTGGCGACTAGTGGGCCAGAATCATGCTTTCACTTTATTTGCATTTACACTCTGTGTCTAGACCATCAATTTAACAAAGCTTTTAGTGGTTTTTCTTTTTTGTTTTTGTTTTAACTGCACCCAACAGTCTGTTCAGTTTAACATGTTTTATAATAATACCTAATGCAGTCTGCCATATCTTTAGTAAAAAAACAAATTTAAAAAAGTTACCTGTGCTCTCTCCTAAATCCCTATGTATATTTAAACAAATGGAGGTCATTTAGTTACTCCAATGGCCATTGGTAGGAATGCCGGCCTGCCAACGTCAAGGCAGACCCCCCTAAGCAGGTCCTACACTAACCATTCACCTTGCTTCCTTGAGCTTCTGGCAAAGATCTCTAATGAGACAGAGAGGGGTATTTTTTTATATATACACACACCTATATACTTGCTAACCCTTAATAGGGAACACATGGGATGGGCGGCAGCATTGTAAACCAACTATGTGATACAAAAAGTGAATACAAATATAAAAAAAAGTCCTGCGCTCCAACTCCCATCACTCCTGGGCGGCAGCAATGACCATAGTACACATCAGCCCAAATACATATAGTAAAAACCAAAGAAAAGTTTTTTTTTAAATTTGTCTTTTTTATCACACAGCTATGTTACAATGCTGCCGCCCATCCCATGTATTCCCTATTAAGGGTTAATAAGTATATAGGGGTGTATATAAAAAAATACCCCTCTGTCTCATTAGAGATATCTTTGCCAGAAGCTCAAGGAAGCAAGGTGAAAAGTCAGAGTAGGACCCACCTAAGGGGGGTCTGCCTTGACGTTGGCAGCGGGCATTCCCTGTAATGGCCATTGGAGTAACTAAATTAAATTAAAAGGAGTGATGGGAGTTTGAGCGCAGGACTTGTTTTTTTTTTTTGTATTTGTATACCATATCTTTAGAGCTACAAGTGCATAAGTCATGCTTCATTTGGATATAACTATCCGTGGAATGATCTTAACGCACTGTATATGTTCCTCCTGCAATAAAATTTTTCTTTAATTTAAAAATGAGGTTACTGCAATCTGTGATTGACACGACACTTCCCTCGTGTTGTTAAATACACTGATTTCTCTGTATCATTACTGTAAGATTACCTATTTACTTATGCATGCCTGCAATTATTATTAACGTCACCACTGTACAACTGTGTCTCTAAACATATTGCCTCAATAAAAATTTGATTGACAAATGGATAGATACATAGAGAGATAGTGTAAAAAAAAAATAATAATAATAATAAGGGGTTAATGTTTTTCATTTATAAATCCAGTATGCTTCTCGTTGAGATTTTATTTCTCTATCTCCCCCACTACCTCCAATTTGGTTCAATTTGTTCAATTGCACACATTTTAAAATCCCCGGTTCGGAACACGGCACAGGTGTTACAATATTACAATGTAATGGAACAGAATGTTTCATGTTTTTTGTTTTTTTCTTCTAATATTATTTTGATACTCTAGAATACTTTATTATATTTTTCTGCATGTACATCCTATGTATTGACTGCCACAAGGGCATTCTAACAAATAAACTACATATGTGGACATGTCATTTAAACGTTATTTAGTTGGAAGCTTTCCCTTGTCCGATTACTTTTAAACCTGTTGCACCAAACTTCGGATAAAAACCTAGAGGCTTTGCAATTATTGCATTTTTAAAAATCCTTTCTTTACCAAACTAGATCCATTTTTCCTTGTTTCTTTTGGAACAGCACTAGGGGCGGTCAATGTTTGTTAAATGATCAACTTTCCTATAAATTATCCTGGGTTTAATGAGTAATGTTTTGATCAACACAGGATCTTCAAGCAGTTGCCAATATTTTTCCCAAAATATTTTTGTTTTATTATGTTGTGGGTTATATTGTGTAATAAATGCAAATTTAGAAAAGTTTGTCTTGTTCTCTTTCTCATAATCCATTCCTTAATAGAGTTGTTGCTGTATCCCTTATCAAATTTTTATTTATTTTTTTACCATCTTTGACTGAGGGTTTTTTGTCATACAGGTGATACTCAAAAAATTAGAATGTCGTGCAAAACTTCATTTATTTCAGTAATGCAACGTAAAAGGGGAAACTAATATATGAGATAGACGCATTACATGCAAAGCAAGATAGTTCAAGCCGTGATTTGCCATAAGTGCATGAAAACCCCAAATCCACAATCTCAGTAAATTAGAATATTGTGAAAAGGTGCAATACTCTAGGCTCACGGTGTCCCACTCTAATCAGCTAAGTAAGCCATAACACCTGCAAAGGGTTTCTGAGCCTTTAAATGATATCTCAGTCTGGTTCAGTAGGAATCCCAATCATGGGGAAGACTGCTGACCTGACAGTTGTGCAGAAAACCATCATTGACACCCTCCATAAGGAGGGGAAGCCTCAAAAGGTAATTGCGAAGGAAGTTGGATGTTCCTAAAGTGCTGTATCAAAGAACATTAAAAGACCATTATAGTGCCAGGAAAACATACTCTTTTCCTGGCACTATAGCGCCCTGAGGGTGCCCCCATCCTCAGGGTCTCACTCCCGTGGCGCTGAAGGGGGGTTAAGGGGTTAATCCCTTACCTTTTTTCCAGCACCGGACTCCCTTGGCGCTGGGACTCTCCTCCCTCTTCTTCCGTCATTGGCTGCGCACGCATTCAGCCAGTCTCATAGGAAAGCATTCTCAATGCTTTCCTATGGACGCTGGCGTTTTCTCACTGTGAAAATCACAGTGAGAAGCGCCTCTAGCGGCTGTCAATGAGACAGCCACTAGAGGCTGGATTAACCCATAGGTAAACATAGCAGTTTCTCTGAAACTGCTATGTTTATAGCAAAAAGGGCTAATCCTAGGTGGACCTGGCACCCAGACCACTTCATTAAGCTGAAGTGGTCTGGATGCCTATAGTGGTCCTTTAATAGAAAGTTGTGTGGAAGAAAAAGGTGCACAAGCAGCAGGTATGACCGCAGCCTGGAGAGGATTGTCAGGAAAGGGCCATTCAAATGTGTTGGGGACTTTCACAAGGAGTGGACTGAGGCTGGAGTCAGTGCATCAAGAGCCACCACACACAGACGGATCCTGGACATGGGATTCAAATGTCATATTCCTCTTGTGTAGCCACTCCTGAACAAACAACGTCAGAAGTGTCTTACCTGGGCTAAAGAAAACCAGACATGGTCTGTTGCTCAGTGGTCCAAAGTCCTCTTTTCTGATGAGAGCAACTTTTGCATCTCATTTGGAAACCAAGGACCCAGAGTCTGAAGGAAGAATGGAGAGGCACACACTGCAAGATGCTTGAAGTCCAATGTGAAGTTTCCACAGTCTGTGTTGATTTGGGGAGCCATGTCATCTGCTGCTGTTGGTCCACTGTGCTTCATTGATTCAAGGGTCAACGCAGCCGTCTACCAGGAGATTTTGGAGCACTTCATGTTTCCTTCTGCAGACAAGCTTTATGGGGATGCTAACTTAATTTTCCAGCAGGACTTGGCACCTGCCCACACTGCCAAAAGCACCAAAGCCTGGTTCGATGACCGTGGGATTACTGTGCTTGATTGGCCAGCAAACTCGCCTAACCTGAACCCCATAGAGAATCTATGGGGCATTGCCAAGAGAAAGATGAGATACATGAGACCGAACAATGCAGAAGAGCTGAAGGCCGCTATTGAAGCATCCTGGTCTTCCATAACACCTCAGCAGTGCCACAGGCTGATAGCTTCCATGCCACGCCGCATTGAGGCAGTAATTGCTGCAAAAGGGGCCCAAACCAAGTACTGAGTCCATATATTGTTCTATGTACACTCCTTGGTTTATTGATTGCATGTTATATTCTAATTTACTGAGATTGTAGATTTGGGGTTTTCATGAGCTGTGAGCCATAATCATCGCACTTATGACAAATCACAGATTGAACTATCTTGCTTTGCATGTAATGCGTCTATCTTATATATTAGTTTCCCCTTTTACGTTGCATTATTGAAATAAATTAACTTTTGCACGATATTCAAATTTTTTGAGTATCACCTGTGCTATGATTCTTAAGCAAACAACACTGAACCGTGCAAGTAACCAATATCAACATTAAACTTTAGAAAGGATAGTTCTCCTCTTGCTTAACTTAAAAATAAAAAAGAAAACAGAAAAAAACTAAAACATGCAGAGAAAATAAGTTTTAGTAATCCGTGTCAAAAGCTGATGTTCCTACTGAAAAGCATAATTTCTGCTGTTTTTATTGCTATATAAAATATCTGTGTATATCATTTTTGTAATGCATACGTATAAGTAAATACCTATTTTCTGTGCATCACCTGCATTAGACTTTCTCTCTGGGGACTGCCAATTTGAAATCTTTGTTGGTTGGAACCACAGCTCATCTAGATAAAGACTGCGCAGGTGATCAAGAGCTATGGTATGACATCATTTGCATGCGCAGGACATCTAACAAAAAAATCACTCTGACGGGGTTGAGTCCTCCATCTTGTGCATGATCTTGCTAGTTAAGTTGACTAAAATGGCTGCCCCATTTGACAAGCATAAATATTCACAATGAAAATAGTTAACTTATATGTATAAATATTTATTATAAAATGATATGCAAGGTTAATATTTTCAGTAATAGATAACGTCTGGCAGTTATCTTTATACCATTAAAGTTAAAGTTACTGAGAAGGGCCTCTATAGCAGATATTACTTTACAGCCCAGCTCATAAACAGTTAAGAATAGTATCTTTATAACGATGAAACCCTGTTGTTTCACATACACTGGCAAGGTACTGAATGTAAACTGCACAGTGTGGTTGATAAGTCGATATGGTTCTCAGAAGAAAAATGAGTTTACAAGCCATATGCCCTCTTTTATTATAACTTTTGCATATCCTGTATTAAACTGTGCTTGACTTTTT